AGGATTACTTAAGATCATCATCAGGCCCACTGTGTTTCCCTGGCTGCCTCTGGACTGCCATTCACTTCTTTGCTGAGGAAAAATGATGCCCCAGTTCACCTTGGTCAGAAAAAAAAAGAGTAACTGGAGACCAGAGTGAGAGAATCAGGCAGTGGAACCTTTTTTTTTTTTTTTTTTTGCAATTCTGGGGATTGAATTGAGGGGCACTTTATCACTGAGCTACATTCCCAGTCCTTTTTATATTATTTTGAACAGGGTCTCGATAAGTTGCTGAAGCTGGCCTTGATCTTGGATCGTATTACCTCAGCTTCCCTGGTTGCTGGGATTTCAGATTTTGTACCAAAATGCCTGATTAATGTGTTATTTTCAATGTGACCTCAAAGTTGAAAAAGATCAGCCCTGCATTGGAAACATGGTGAAAATGTGATTATTTCATATTAGCAAATAAACTGTGGTTCTAATCACAAAGAATGGATCAAATAACAAATACGAGGGCTGGGGATATAGCTCAGTTGGTAGAGTGCTTGCCTTGAATGCACAAGACCTGGGATTCAATCCCTAGCACAAGAAAAAAAGAAAGAAAAAAAGAAAAAAAAAAAGGAAAAAAAATCATATATATCTTTTTTCATTGAGGTAAAAGTTACATAATCTAAAACTAACCATGTTAGGTAGGCTGGTGATGTAGCTCAGTGGTAGGTCACTTGTCTAGCATATGTGAGGCCCTGGGTTTGATCCCTATCTCTGGGGAAAAAAAAATTAACCATTTAAAAAATGTTCAACTCAATGACATTTAGGGCACCACCAGCTCCATCAAGTTCCAAAAACTTTTCATCACCCCAAAAGCAAACCCCTCACCCAATTAGCAGTCACTCCCCTGCCTCAATTCCTCCCCTGGCCCAGCCCTAAAAAAAAAAAATGCTTTTTATCTCAAGATATTTTGTGTAACTGGAATCCTACAATGTGACCTTTCATGTCTCTCTTCTTTCACTTAGCATAATGTTTTGGAGGAGAATGTTGTAATATGTGTCAGTACTTCTTCTTCTTCTTCTTCTTTTTTTTAGGTTAAATAAAATCCGACTGTATAACTATAACCACAATTTGTTTATCTACCCATCCACTAATGGACTAGAGCTTAGAATTTGCCCCTTCTGAATTTAAACATGCCTAAAATTGTTTCTGTTCCCAAGAGTCTWACTCAACTCCAGCACCACCCACAAGGTCCACATGGTAAGTCTTCCAGAACACAGTATCCCCCATTTTACAGATTAGGAACCAGAGGAAAAGAAGGAAGAAGTGACCACATCAGACGGGATTCCAAGCCTACTGTCCATCCCATGTTACCCTTGCTGGTGTCTCAGATAATTTAAAACAAGGTCCCCATGGCAAACAAACTCCCAGGGGGGATTTCAGTGCAGTCTGCCTGAATGCAGGAGCCCCTTGAATCCTGTGTCCTTCCCCAGTGTTTCTGAATGCCCTCAGTGTCTCCTTCCAGGCAGTCAGCCAGTGGGCCAGGCACGCAAGCTCTCATTGCTTCCCTTTTTGATACCTTCTCATTACTTTTAATTGCATTGGAGACTTTGGCATCTTATATTTTGCTTCTTAATCCAGGGCATTTCTTCACCTCCCACTGGTCCAGCATAGCACTTCCCTCTCAGAGCTCTCCAGAGGAGTGCCCCCAGAAAAGGGAGCGGCCTCCTGTCATGCATTCATCTCTATAATGAACAGTGTAATATCCATGTCTAGGCATATTTACATAGCAATCTGCACACAAAAGCCACATTACAAAAGGAAGGGTTTTTTTTTTTTTAAGGAATGCCATTTCAAAGCTCCATTTCCTATAGTAGTAAGAACACTATTGGAATTATCCTGACAGGAAGACAAAACAACTTCCAGGGATGCTGGGTTAGAGACAATAGCTTCGCCAGACCCATTAATGTTTAAAGTCAATGGAGCATAAAACTGCTTCTCTCTACTTACAGTCAGGCATCATCTTACGGAGAGGAGGGGGAAAAATGGCCATTTTTAACTCTACTGAAATCCATAAGCCCTCCCCTAATTTCCATTCCCCTTGAAATTCTCCAATAAGTATCATCAGAATGAAAATGAGACTCTCTCTCTCTCTCTCTCTCCCTCTCTCTCTCTGGGGCGAATGACTTCCCACCCTCATCAGTGAAGTGTGTGAAGAACTCCAACAGAAGTGGAGGTAGGAGCTGCCTGCTGGGAAAGGTTTCATCACTGGAACCTGCAGAACTAGTTGTGGTGACACACCTTGGGAGCCCTGGGACTGCCTTCAGGAAGGCTCTAAACAATTCCAGCTCAGGGTGGACTGAGGCAGAATTTAAGGGACCCCACCAGTTCAARGAAGGAATGCCTCCAGTGTATACTTTACTTAGTGGGCTGCTGGGGGGGAATCTCATCATTAATAGCTGTTTCCCTGGGGAAATCGCTGGAATGGAGCCAGGCCTCTGTTAGTAAACCACTGGACCTAATCCCTCAGTACATTTGTGTAATGCCTGACAAAGCCTGTTCCCATTATCTCATTTGATCCTGAAAACAATCCTCAGAGGGAGGCAGGGCAGGGATTATTTTTTCCATTTTACAAGTGAAAACACTTGTAAACTGATTTGCCAAGAGTCCCACACCCAGGATGTAGCAGGAATGAGACTTGATTCTAGGTCTTTGTGTAACCTGTTCAGGGTTCTTTTGACTCCACACAAGAGACTGGTCAAAATATTCCCAGCCCCACCCAGTCCTCACAACCACCAGTTTAACCAGCAACTGGGAACTAAAAGACAGGAGTGGCTGTGTACACTGCCCACACACCTCTGCCCTGGTTGGCAAGCTCTCAGGGAGGAAAAAAAATTAATTTCATGTCATCTCTCTGCACCAAAGACCAAAATTAATCCCAGATGGATTTGGGGAAAAAAAAAAATCCAGGCATTAGAAAAATCTAAAGAAAATAGAACTGAATATTTAATAACTTTCTGAAGGCAAGGAGACTCTAAATTTAGCATCATGTTAGAAGTCTCAAAGGAAAGGATTTTATAGATCTGACTACATTAAAATGTTCTGTTTAACTGGTAAAAAAAAATTGTAGAGAGTCAACAACAACAAAAAAACCCTGAAGAAATATTTGTAGTAAAAAGTGAAAGCAAAGGGTTAACCTCTGGTACACAGACATAGAAAAACTCTAGGAAAAACTTATTAGGAACGATTTACAAAAAGGAAGTACAGTTGGTTAACAAACATTTAGAAAACTGCTCTAACTAAAATAAAAAATTRTAAACTGACAGAAGATACCAATTCCACCTATGAAATCAGCAAAAAAAAAAATTTCAGTAACAATTAAATGTTGGTGAAGGTACAATAAATAAAGTACACTAGCACAATGATAGGGGAGGACATTTACCCAAATCTCAGAAAGTTATTTCATGTATTTATCAAAAACATTAAAATAATATCCATATCCTTTGACCTAAAATTCTACTGGGAACACGCTCTAAGGAAAGAAACATAAATATGGAAAAGTTTGATGGACAAAAACGTTAAGTCACACTCATTTACAACAAGGGAAATTAGGGAAACAGCAAACGTTAAAGGAATTTAAACAATTACATATATTTAGTGGAAATGTACGTAATCACTAAAATGTTTTCAAAGTGCATGAATAACKTGAAAAAAGGCTTCTGGTTGCAATACAAAGTTAAAAAATGTGTAACAYTGTACACATGGTTGTTTGTAAAATATATTCTTTATAGAAAAAAATCCTGAAGAAAAAAGAAACCTAAGGGAAAAAAATTGTTCAACCATGTTTTGAGTCCTATAATTGAGAAAATTTCCACAGCTCCTATATTTCTATTTGAATTGTAGTAGGGACAAACGAGGCAAGGCATCCAAGATAGCAGGAAACAGTCTTATTTGGCTGCAGCCAGGTTCAGAGGGCACAGCTTTTGCTGTAATCAATCAATCCCCTGAACCCAGAGCTCAGGTAGTTTCAAAGTTTTATACCCAGCATGTAAGGGTAGGGGCTCAGAAGTTCACAGTCTTCAGACGTTCACATAAAAGCAGCTTTTTCCTTCACTGTTCTGGGCAAGTTAACCCTTCAAGGACAACACCTGAGAAGGGGAGAGCTTCTTCTCCCCTTTYTTTCCTCCCCCTGCCAGCTGTTACCATGGAGCCCAATTGRTACCTTCTCTTATCTTAGAAACGTAGACATCTCTGTGAAGCCCAGCTCAAGGCCAGAGGCCTGGTTTACACATTTCTACAAACTACTGTACTGGAATCATGTTTGTGAGAAACTAGTAGGGGGGTGTCCAGGACCTGGAGTGCTRGTTTCTTCCTGGCAAGTGGCAAAGTAAAACAGGGCGACACGAAAATAGGAAGTTTATCTACATTGAACTCTTGTAGAGACTCTTTTGCTGACAATCCTAAAATCAGCCATGGTGAAGATTTCTGGAGAAGCCCAGTAAAGACTTTTCTGTGGAGAAAGGGGGTGCCACTTCAGAAACTTAAAAACAAACAAACAAACAAAAACCACAAGCAACTCTCCAGGCAAGCAAGCGGTAGTCGTTCCTTGTCTGGCTTTGTTGCCCGGGAGGTTTCAATGATTGGGGATGGGGAAGTATCTGTGACCCCCACCTCCGACCTGAAAGCAGATCGATCACACCGGAAATAGAGGTTCAACCACGAGATTTATTGGAAGCAAGAGATGGCTGCCCACCTGCTCGAGTGGGGACAGCAGCCTGCCTCCATCAGCACCGGGTGAGGTAGGTCCGTTAGAGGACGGGCAYGAGCTGATCGGGCCTGAGAATTCAAAGGGCCAATGCTCCCTCGTGGGATCCTGCTATTGGYGGGTGGAAGGCGGGGAGGGTGACATACTGTGTTGTCAATGACCTGGTTGTCACTAGGCGGGAATGGGTGGTGGAGTGGGAAGGGGCAAGGCTTTTCCTGGGAAATGGAAACTCCCTCGTACCTAACATTCTTCCCTATTTTGCTTTAAATTGGGGATGGGGGCACTGACTTAGTTTGGCTACTTCCTGCTGAGGTGGGAAGATGTGGGAAAAGGAGGGGAGGGATGTCTGGAAACAGAGAAGAAGCATCATTGTGAAGACCCAGGCACCGAAGCCATAAATTTCCTCTGGGCTGAAATCCATGAAAATTCCCTGAAGCCACAGATCATGGATAGTCTCCATCCAATCCTCGTCACTGCAAATGAGGGAATCAGCCAGCCAGCTGTCCTGTTAGAGGGTCTCCATGAACTCCACGAATTGGGTGAGCCACATGATGAGCCTAAAGACACCGAAGACACCCGAAGGCAACGAGAAGGAGAAGAAAGAGGAGACACAACATTAGCTTCTGGCAGGAGGTCCAGCAGAGGGACTGGCTGAGAAAAGGCCAGCGGTCAGGAGGAGGCACCCGAGGGCGAATGGGCCTAGAAACCCTGGGTGAGAGGCTAGTGAAGTTCCTCCAGTTGTGTTTCCAATTTGTAGCTCCATATTCAAAGTGATAAAGTTCCATCAGCAGTTGGTGAGGCCTTCCCATGAGGAATAGGTGTCTCCTGAGGTAGCAAATAGTTGGTAATCCTGGAGAAGCTGGTTAAAGGTCTGATTAGATATTCTGCCTATTTGATTTTGTAGGAATTTTATGATACAGGATAGAAAGGCACAAAACAAACAAAAAATCCCAATTAGAGGGTCAAGTAATGGGAGGACCCAACTGATAATAGAACCTGGAGACATATTCCATAGAGAGGACTGGGCCATCTGTTGTTTCCTTTTCTCTAATTGCTCTTGTAGTTGTTTGATCTTATTTTTTGCCACTCCTGACTGATTAACATAAAACAGCATTCTTCCTGAAATGATATAGGCAAAGTCCTCCCTTCTCCTCTGTAAGCAAGTGTAAGCTGCGGTGGTTTTGTAAGAATCTAGCTGACTTTGGAGAGTGAGATAGATTTGGCTAGACAGCTGGTGGTAGTAGGTAAGGGACGTCGTCATCCCTGCTGTGCCTGTAGCCAGTCCTGCCGTTATTTCCAGAATAGCCAGTAAGGGGATAAGTTGGGCGGCTCATTTGTGACTGGGTTTATGTGAGCCGTGAGGGGGACGGGAATATCCTTGTCTCCTGAGACAACATCTATGGATGGGGATAAAAGGGTTAGTGTGGATGTGCTGCTCCATCTTGGGGGCAAGCATGGTACACAGATGTCCCGCATAAGAAGGATGCCTCAGGGGTCGGTGGACAAGAGSGCTTGGGAGATACTTCATGGGTAATTATTTGAGCACACTGTTCATCTTGTAAGTTACCGACAGACATATTCCTGGAGGAGTTGAGACATGTGTCGGCCGGCAACCTGATAAAGGGGAACCCCTGAAAGTTTTCGGGAGATGTCAACTGTTGTGGAAGTAGTTTCGTTGAGGATCAGTGAGCCATTGACCAATGAGGAGTTTAGTTGTATTGGGCTGGCAACTAGTGAAAGAATCCTGCCTTGAGGCACAGCCAGCATCCCTGAGCCAATGTGGAGTTAGTCAGTGGGATAACCCAGTGCCTCAGATGATGAGTGGTGTTAGTGATCTGGATTAGAAGGGTGTCCTTGRGTAAGGACTCCCATCTGACAGATTTAAGAGCTTTCTGGTGGGATGCAACATGGTGGCGGGCCTTATCCTGAACCMCTCCCCCATCTGACACTCCAAAACATAGGTGGCTGCCAGAGCTATGAGACAGGGAGGTCCATCCCAGTTGTTTGGATAGATAGGCTACTAGAGCAAATGTTGGTCCCTGCTGTTGGCCTAGCACCCCTAGGACATACAGAACAAGGAATCTATGCATGTCAGGTAGGAGAGCGTGGGGGCCTCGAGGAGGACCTACCAAAGTTTGTGGAATGGAGCTCGGATGGCATTAGGGGTGGTCGCCAATGATTTTCCCCTTGCTGTATCGTATAGTGGGGCAGCTAAAAGG